ACCGCAAATCATCCTTGTAAGACTAAAGCCTTTGAAAGAAGAAATTGATTCCAAGTCCCTGATTTAAATTTACATAATTTTTCTAAACTTTGGTTCTCAGACATTAGTGGGCAGGACCCTAACACCTAGAGGGCTTGGGAAAGTAAATTCTTGGGCTCCACCCCAAAGTTTTCTAGAGTGGCTTGTTGCCGGAAGACGAGGCCCAACGGAGAGAAAGAGCACCCAAACACCATAGTTAATAGCAGGAAGGGCTTTATTCATCAGCCGGGAGCTTATGGCATAGATTTCCAAATGGCCACGCTCCCCGACTGGCTTGGTCATTCCCTTTTTATAGACAGTCAAAAAGTTCTACCCCACAGGCACCTTTCCCATTGGCCAGTTTGAATCAAGTGGGAGATGCTACTCCAGCCCCTACAGAACTACAGGATTTCATAGAACTTGGAAATTTCCAAGTTCCAGGGAGTTAAACCTATAAATTCCCAAGAGCTGAGTCACCATGGAGAGGGCCCTGCAGGTGCATCCTCGTGGTTTCCCTGAGAAGACCTGTTTGTCCGGACCTCACCCCTCTCCGGTATCCTCTCTCAGCCGATGCTGGTGGGAGAATCACTTTGCCCTAAGCAACACAGTTTTAATTAATAAAGCTGTAAGCCTTTTTAATACATTGTAGATTCTACTCTAAAATGAAATTTCCCAGATCATCACTATGTCAATTTTCTCTATTTTTATATCTGGAGTCTACAGACTGAAAGAAGAGATTGTTTTTTATTGGAAGAATCTATAATGAAGGCCTGTATCTATCTCTATTTCTCTCTCTCTCTCTCTCTCTCTCTTTTTTGGGAGAAACGGAAAGCACGTGCAGTGAGAATAAGATGGATTCATTCAGCTAGGGCTGAGACCACACAGTGGGTTTGGTGGGTTTAGGGCCTAGGTGACCTTCACCTCATGTCTCACATTCTTGCTGTTTTATAAATTCATCTTTAACCTAAAAGTGTATATCTTGAGTAACTTATAATTGATTTTTTAGGAGATTAACTTTTGAATTGGAATATTGTTTTGGGTCATGGGTTATGTCAATTATTATTTATTACTATAGGTCATGGGTTATTCTGATTACTATTGTTTAAGATAAGGGTTAATATGGTTTTTACTTTGAACTTTCATGTATAAAACTGTGATTTTTGGAAATGGAAGAAGAGAACACTCTTGGAGAGGCTGTTCTCACTGTTCTCCAGAATCCTGGCCTTCTTTTTTTTTAAGATAGGGTCTCACTCTGTTGCCTTCGGTAGAGTGCCATGGTGTCGAAGCTCACAGCAACCTCAAACTCTTGGGTTTAAGATATTCTCTTGCTTCAGCCTCCCAAGTAGCAGGGACTACAGGCACTTGCCACAGTGCCTGGCTATTTTTTTGTTACAGTTGTCATTGTTGTTTAGCAGGCCTGGGCCAGGTTGGAACTCACCAGCCCCTCTGTATGTGTGGCCGGTGCCCTAACCACTCAGCCCAGGTGCTGAGACAGAATCCCCGCCTTCTGACAAATAAAGTTTGATGGACCTTTCCCTGTCTCTGCATATTGACTGATAGTCAAGGTCAACTGGATTCCTCCAATTAAAAAAACCTACAAGATATAGGATAGTCAAACTTCCTTACACTTCCTCTTCCAAATGGGAAAGGTGGGAAAGGGTCATCTGGTCATTTGACTAATGTTTCATATTCGTCTACCTTTGTGTTTACCTACATAACAGCCAAACCATATGGCAAATGAAAGTTGAAAATCATTATCAGGGAAAAGATAAACAAGGGGAAGCCTAACAAATTATACATATACCACTGCCATGGAAAGCAATTTTTAAAGTAAAATTATTAAAATTAAACTTATTAAAATTATTTGACTGAAAGTCAAATTCAGTTTTCAAGCAAGTCTACTTGGCAAATAGAGGTACTATCTTGGTCCACTTTTAGCAAGGGTCCACTGGGCCAGTAAGTAGCTTGAATCAGTAGCTATGGCCTCTGGAAAATTATAATCCTGTAAATATAATATGATTAGATAATCTTATAACAGGGTCTAGAGGATACAGTGGAACTGATCTGAAATACAAAACTGGTAGCTATGAGGCATAATGATGTTTTAATAAAACAAGTACTCAATTTATCTTTACAAATATTATTTTATTTTAAAAATTTTATTTAATTACATGCTAAAATAACATGTCATCTATGCTAGTTGGCTAGAATATTTTATTTATTTATTTATTTATTTTTTTGAGACAGAGCCTCAAGCTGTCACTCTGGGTAGAGCGCTGTGGCATCATAGCTCATAGCAACCTCCAACTCCTGGGCTCAGGTGATTCTCCTGCCTCCGTCTTCCAAGTAGCTGGGACTACAGGTGCCCGCCACAACGCCCGGCTAATTTTTGGTTGCAGCGGTCATTGTTGTTTGGTGGGCTGGGGCTGGATTCGAAACCACCACCGCTGGTGTATGTGGCTGGCGCCTTAGCTGCTTGAGCCACAGGCGCTGAGCCAAGAATATTTTAAACTATCATTCAAGTCAAGGTGTGTGACACATCTCTTGGAGGTAGGACACAATTATAAGAGGGACTTTACCTAACAAATGCAATCAGTGTAACCCGGTTCTCTGTACTCCCAATGACTCCTCAATTATAAAAAATTTAAAAAACTATCATTCAACACTTTTATAAATAAAACTCATCCTGAAAATATTTCAGTACCTTATTAGTTCAAAAACCTGATTTTTGGCTCGGCGCCAGTGGCTCAAGCAGCTAAGGCGCCAGCTACATACACCTAAGGTGGCGGGTTCAAATCCAGCCCCGCCGGCCAAACGACAATGATGGCTGCAACCAAAAAATAGCCGGGCGTTGTGGCGGGCGCCTGTAATCCCAGCTACTTGGGAGGCGGAGGCAGGAGACTCGCTTGAGCCCAGGAGTTGGAGGTTGGTGTGAGCAGTGAAGCCAGAGCACTCTACCCAGGGGCTCAGCTTTGAGGCTCTGTCTCAAGGAAAAAAAGAAAAACCTGATCTTTAACATTTAAGAGTCATATATTTTCTTCTGTTATAAATTCTTAGATTTAACCCTTCCCCCAATTTAAATTTCAAAATCCAAATATTAAAGAGTTCATTGGGAGGAAACTTATCCTTCAAAGACCCAAGCCATATTGTCTCCACTGAAAACAAAAACTTGAATTTTTGGCCTCCTTTGAACATGAAGGTACTTTATAGTTATCTGACTTAGGATGAATTCTAACATAAAAACATTGGCATTTTGACTTCTTTACTGTAGCCCTTAATTCTCCCTCTGCTTCCATTTCTCTGCCAAAGAGCTACTGCATTTTTTCTCCAGAATAAAATAATCGATTAGAAATTTAAACTCTGAGCTTTTTAAATGTTTAGAATCCTGATGACTACTAGTCCCTGGCACCTAGCAGAAACTTTGAAAACTCAGTAAATGTTTGCTAAATGAAGTTTAGTTTGCTAAATGAACTAGTTTTCACAAAACATGCAAACTTCTGTGGTTAAAAATATTTAAATTGAGGGAAAATGAAGTATTACCTAATAAATAAGAGTGACTTAAGTGAATTCAGGTGTTTGGGCTTTAAGAGCTGGGGCAAGGACCGAGTGTAAGTTCCGGTGCTCCCCGTAGAGCGGCAGACTACAAATCCCAGAGTGCCTCGCGGGCGTAGTCCACGCAGTACTCGGGTTTCAGGGCCTTGGAGCCGCACGTCCTCCCCGCATTGCATTACGGGATCTGTAGTGAGCCGTGCGGCGAGTGGGCTGTTTTCTTAGTTTTCCCCCTGCTGGGCACCTAAGCTTATCTTTCCTCAACCTTTGTAGTCTGTGCTCGTAAAAAGTTCAGTCGTTGTAACAGCCTGTCAGTGTTGTGGAGTTTCGCTGTTTTTCCGCATTCCCGGCGCGGGGCTCTAGCCAAAGTCGCCTAGGACAGTGTAGCAACCGTCCGGAATGTCCAGTTCAATGGTCCTTAGGGCGTCTGGCCTTAAGGGCTCCATCCTAAATTTGGGTTACAAACATTTCTGAGATAAACGTGTCCAAATTTGCGTAAGAGTTCAGTGAGCCGAACGCGTGGACCCAGTTTGAGATCCGCAAACCGGCGGGCTCAGCACCGCGCCTGTCTCGCACGCAGCAGGCCCACGACCCGTTGCCCACGAGGCAGCGCGCGGGGCCGGGGAGCCGGGCAGCGCGAACGGGCGGCGGTGGCACTGCGCATGCTCCGCGTGTCAGCGCAGCTTTCCGTAGCAGAGGGGGCAGCTCCGCAGCTGCTTTCGAGGTCTCCGGTAGGGCCGACGCTCCGGTATTCTCTCAGTCCTCGTCCTTGGCTGGCAGCCGGCGTCCGTCCACTTGTCGAGTCGCCGGCCGCAGCCTCCACTTAAGCGCGCCCCGATCTGGCCCCCTGCCCCGCGAAGATGGCTGCCGTACGCCGGGCCCGCAGTTACTGCCGCTGCCTGGTGCGCTTCTCCGACCGAGAACTCTACTAAGCCCCGCTGCAGCAGACAGGCAGGAGTAGACACCCGGACACCCAGCACCCCTCCTCCGGGGGGCGGTGCAAGGGAGCGCGGAGAGCCCTTCGACCGCAGCTGGCCGCCCCGCCAGCATGGTAACCTGGGCAGGGGGCGTCAGAGGAGGGCTCTGCAGGGCGGGGGTGGGGGGCGGCATGTGGGAGCCAGACCCGGGGTGGGGGGCAAAGAAGTGGGGACAAGAGACTGGGGGGAGTGGGAGTTGTACGGCCGCCACCTTTTATAGGCGTTATGAGAAGGAATGAAGTAGATGCCAGCTCTGACCGCTCCCCCGGGTTCCTTCCTGCTGAACCCCAACCGGGTTCAATATGGGAAGGGCTTTGCAGGACAGCCGAGAAGAATACACGACCTCGGCTCACTGAGAGCGTTAAACTGGTCTCGCCCTTGTGGAGGGGTGTTATCAAAAGCATTGAACGTGGGTTGAGGCGAACCGTTGCAGCAGCATCCGAATTCGAGAGGGAACCCGAGCAAGCAGAGACACTTGTTGATTGCTCCTCTTCTGAAAAGCCGGGCCCACTGAGAGGCTGTTCAGGCATCTTAGGAAGTCCTGGGTTTGGGATGCACCTGCCCCACTAGATCAGTACCCTAGGTAGGATGTTAGTAGGCGGTTCAAGCTGAGTGAGGTTCCAGGGGTCGGGTTTCAAGCAGTGTTTGTGCGGTCCAAATGGAGAAATTGAGCTCGGCTCCACATTTGACATCGCAGATTTCACGGGACTGTTGCGTATATGTAGTCTCTGCCCTTTTCCTTTCTTTGGCTTTGAAAAAATTGTCCATCTTAGAAAGTAATCTCTGGCTAAGGCTGAATGAATCAAGGCTGAGATGATTCCAAACTAATTAGTTCATAGTAGACTCAAATATTTATGAAATAAATGAATGGCTGAGTGAACTTATTTCATTAAATTAATCTGTAGGGTAGAAAAATCGCCGTTTGACTCTGCCCCTAAACTTTGAGCAGTAGTTCTTTGACCAGGATTAAGCACTTAACCTTTATATTTCATTAATCCCACCTGTGAAACAGGAGCACCATGAAGACAAGAGCTACTCAAGTGAAAAGTGATATTTAGGTCAGACTCAGTTATGAAAAAGTAAAACTTCTGGGTCGCAGCTGAGGACTTATTTAGTTCAAGTGGTATTTGAGTTGATGGAATACCGCAAAACCCCCAGTTCACTAGTTTCTTATTTTTTATAATCACACTGTCAAAAAGTAATAATGAATCAGAACTCAATTATAGCACAGCTCAGGGGAGAACAATGATGCTGTCTGTAGGTATATATTACAGGTTTCCTATTTCCACATCCTTCAGCTAATGCATTGTATGTCCACATGGCAATTTTATTTGGTAGTCCAGCCAATGTTGTTTAGCACTTTGTTCCAGTCCGGCATAGTGCTAGACCCTAAGTACAACATTAGATCCTCAGTATAACCAGCTCAGTAAGGTGATTCATGATACAAAATGGAATGTCACGTGTGGAAATAGACCTCAGGTCATCATATCTCATGAATGAGACAGTTGAGGCCTGGACAGGTCTTTACTAAGAATCAAGCACAGTGCTTGTCCCTAAGGTTACAAAGATGACCAAGATGTGATCGCTGCCCTCAGTGCACTAACTCTAACCAAGGAAACAAAAAGAATTTCAGTACAAGCTTTGTGGTACAGGTAAGCCCAAGTGTTGTGGGAATACAAAAGAGGCTATTGAAAATGATCAGAAAATGCTTCTGACTCAGATGAACCTAAGCTAAATTTTGAATAATGAGTAGAAGTAGCTAAGTGAAGAAGGTGGCGTTCCAGGTGGAGAGAACAAACAGCATTTATGCAAGCACCAATTGGAGACAGCCGCAGAGGCTCTTGAAGTCTATTTAGTACAACTTCTAAGCAATAGATACAAGACTGAATTACTAAGGGATGCCCTAGAGGACTCAGGTCCCTTCTAACTAGGTGTATTTAGTTTATAGTAATAAAGCAGACTCTTGAGAGAGAAGTAGATTTCTCAGTGAGATCTATACGTTCTCATCTCTCTGTCGTGTATTTCCTACTAGTGTTCTTAGTAGGAAAAGCTTTCAACTTAAGAGACTTAAAACCCCAAAGCACTATTTGACAGTACGTGAATGCTTAAGTTTTCCCGTTTTCTGGAAATGCATCTGACTTCTTGACCTTTCATTTATTTCTTCACACATTTATACTTTACAGTGTGCTGACCATTTCATTATACCTTATACTAACTAGTTCAAGTCTTAAAGGCACTTCTGCTTTGAGTCTGGTGCCAGAGATAAGATAGGAAGCAAGGCGTATTTATGTTGTGCTGAAATGTATGTGGTGCATATACAAGTTGCTGTGTTAAAGATCTGTGTTAATACAAACTTTTTTTCCTGGAAATAACTTAGAACTAAAATTTGCAATTGCAAAACTTAACATCTTTAAAACTAGTAATATTAAATCGATTTTGTTTCTAGCTAACCTCTAAGGTCATTTCCCTGATTGCCACATTAGGTGTTGAGCAAGTTCCATTTGCTATTAAGTCTCTTAGCTAACAGACTGAACTGAAGGAACTTTTCACTTTCATTGGAAGGTAGGGTTCCTTCCTACCTGCTAAATTTGTTTAATTTAGCAAACATTTATTGAGAATAAAAGGATAAAATGAAAGGAGTGTGGCCTAAAACCTCCAGCTTTATTTCCACTTTAAGTCAATCCAGTATATAAAAACAGGATTTATAAGAGATAAAATAGAGGCTTCTTGGCAGAAGCGTTCCTGTACATATAAAATACTAACAACGCCTGTGGCTCAGTGAGTAGGGTGCTGGCCCCATATACCAAGGGTGGTAGGTTGGAACCCAGCCCGGGCCAAACTGCAACAAAAAATAGCTGGGCGTTGTGGTGGGTGCCTGTAGTCCCAGCTACTTGGGAGGCTGAGCAAGAGAATCGCCTAAGCCCAAGAGCTGGAGGTTGCTGTGTACCAAGGGCGACAAAGACACTCTCTAAAAAAAATTAACAAGTCATAGTGACAGAACATGTTTAATAAGATGCTAGCTGTATGTTAGAAGGGACATCTTTTTATGGACTGTTCTTTTTAAGTGATCCATGAAACAAAAACTAGTAGGGCAGGGCAGCACACCCTTGCTCAAGTCCTAACACCTCAAGAGGCTGAGATCAGAGGATTATTGGAGCCCAGGAATTCAAGGCCAGCCTGGGCCACCCTTCAGACTCCATCCTAAAAAAACAAAGCAAAAGCTGTATACCACTAATACTGTTATTTTCTGGTGCAAAATTGTTCTTTTTTAACCACTTACAAAAACATTTTATTTTTCTCTTCTTCCTTCCCCAACAAAACATTTTAAACTGGAGCCCAGCAGAGTCTATTGTACAGTAATAAAGTTTCCAATTTCATCTCAGTGGTATCATTAAACCAGGGAGAAGATACCCATAGAAAAGCAACTCTGTATTTCATTTGCATGAAACAGTATGTTCTGTTGTACTTGTATAAGATTATGGTACTGAAATTCTTTGCATTAGTTTTTGCCTCAAACTCCATATATCTGGAATATGTGCCACAGCTTTTTGTCACTGCATTTCAGAACCCTTCCCTTCCTGATGAAAAAAATCTCCCTACTTTACAGCAAGTAGCCTTGCTTAAAAAATAAAAAAACTTACCAGAATCTAAGCCTCTCTAGATTTAGACATAATTTACAGGAAATAAAATGGTAAAGGAACATATTTATTGATACTTTAGCAAAATCTACATTCTGCAGAAAAATGGTATGGTTTCATCACAAATTGCAAAAAAAAAAATAAGTTTACAAAAGTTTTGAGGCATAACAACCAATTGTAATACGTGGACCTTATTTGAATCTTGATTTCACAAAAGTAAAACGTATTTTACATGTATGACATTTTGAGAAATAGGAACACTGTGACATGATATTTGATGTTAAGGAATTATTACATTGGTAATTAATGGAGTTGGGTTATAAGTACTTAGAGATTAATTACCCTGTTCTCTTTATGTTTAAATATTGTTCTCTCAAAACTTGTAGAACTAACATAAAACCAAAAATGTTCCTATTTTATTTCATTTTTTCTAAGAAAACGTGAAAATTTTTATTATAGATTATCAGTAGATACATGGTATATATATTGATGGAGGAATTGGCTTCATTTACCTAGTTGCATTAATCAAATATGAAATTATTTACAAATAGCAATGGACTTGACTTGTTATTTTATATAATGTAATTGGTCTCTGTACCTGCAGGTTCTACATCCTCAGATTCAATCATAGATCAAAAATATTTTGGAAAACATAAGTTAAAAAATACAGTATAACTATTTACATAGCATTTACTAATCTAGAGATGATTATTTGGGATGATAAGCATAGGTTATAACCTAGAGATGATTTAAAGTATATGGGACGATAAGCATAGGTTATGTGCAAATATTATGTCATTTCATGCAAGAGACTTTTAAGCATCCATGGATTTTGATATCCTCGGGGATCCTGGAACTAACTCCCTGTAGATGCTGAAGGATGACTGTAATTATTATTTTTTTCCTCCCAGCTCCTCTTTCTAGAGGATGACTGTAATTAGATTGATTTTTAGATGAATGGCATTGATATATTTGCAGAGGGGGAGTGTTAAGATTCATGGTGATGTGAGTACTGTGGTTGGAAATATGCTTTTCAGACTTACTTTCCTTTAGAAATAGTAAGGTCACACAGAGATCCTACAGTCTGGAAGTGGATTTCACAAACTATTGTCATTATGGTACTAAGATACAAGTGGCTGAATAGAAGATACAAATTACAAAGGGAAACTGGTGCTTGCATATTCCTGATATTATTGAGTTTTTCCCCCTCAGGCAGAAGCTGAGGAAGATTGTCATTCTGATGCTGTCAGAGCAGATGATGATGAAGAAAATGAAAGTCCTGCTGAAACGGATCTGCAGGCATGTTTCTTCAGCTGTATATTTCTTATTCTGTTGCTTCTCATGCATAAGTAGCAATTGGCCATAATTATGGCAATTTGAGGTTCTTGTTTGCATTGAATTTAACTGTGTTTTCATACTGGGTTATAGAATACTTAAACTATGTTATGGATTTCTTTTTTTCTATAAAAAGAAATATAATTGATGCTATGTAGTCTAATACATGGTTTTAAAGTATTTAAACTGAGGCTAAAGTATGACTGAAAACCCATAAACTTAAAAGGCAAAGGTTGACAGTGTTGACCACTTAAAAGTTTAAAACCTGTATGTAACAAAAGCCACCAGAAATAAAGTTAAGAGAAATAGCCAGGTGCGGTGGCCCAAGCCTGTAATTCCAGCCACCGTAAGAGGCTGAGTGGGGAGAATTGCTTGAGCCTGGAAATTCAAGACTAGCCTGGGCAGCAATGAGACCCTGTCTCTATAAAAAGTAGAAAAATTAGCTAGGCATGGTGGCTGGTGCCAGTGGTCCCAGCTGCTTGGGAGGTTGAGGCAGGAGGATTGCTTGAACCCAGGTGTTTCAGGTGAGGAATCATATTGTCAGTATATAGAGTACCCTTATAAATTAGCAAAAGGAACACAGGATAGAAAGATATGAAGGGACAGTTAATAGAAAAGAATAATGTAAATGGTCACTAAATATTTGAAGAGGTAATTAGTCTCATTAATAATTAATTCAAATTGGTGAATAATGTCCATTGCTGTCCAGGCTGTGGAAACCCTCATATAGTGTACATGAGAATATAAATTGCTACAACATTTCTGAAGGGCAGACTGGCGATATGGATCAAAATGAAAAACCTGCATCCCTTTCATACTGCAATTGTATTTCCAGGAAATCAATCTGGAGGAAATAATACAGAAAGTCAGTAAATATGCATGTAGAGAGATGTTTAGTATAGCATTGTTTATATGGGAAAAATGATACAACCTAAATATCTGTTACTTGTGTTCAAGAAATTATGCATCTGTACAGTGAGATATACTGTAGCCATTGTGCATTAAAATAGAAAAAACATAAAAATTCACTGTTATTAAGTGCATCTCACCAAACTTACAAGTTTTCTTGGAATGCCTCATCTAATAGACATTGAATGCTGCTTAAGATTTTGTAGGTCAGAGATACATGTGTAATATGTTAGAAGTAGGAGTATGGGAACAAAGCAGTGAATGGAATATACATAAAAATTATTTTAAAACATTTTAGATGTCTTTTTAAAAGGAAATTAGGGATAATATATACAATCCTATTAACACTGGCCCTCTTGGGGAGAAGTGGTTTTCTCCTAGAAGAGGGAGGCTGCCCCTAGGTGAAGATTGCCATGCAGAGTTTGCTAGAGTACTCTTGGGATCAGCACGGATGGAAGGGAGAGAGGGAGAAAGGGAACCAGCAGCGGGCAGGGGGAGAAGTCCAGCTGCTGTGCAGTCGTAATGGACTGCATTAGCCATTCCCAAGGGATTTCTGAAGATGGAGTACCCTTTCAGAGCTAACTAGAGTTGCAGTAGAGAGCCAGGCCTTCATCAGCAATCCATCAGGCATTAGGTGAGGGGATTGAGAAGGCAGTGTGATCTTACTGAGGCAATACTCAAAAGGGCTTGAAGCTCGGGGCTGTTTTCAGGCAGTACTGCCAGTGGTTGGGGGTAATGTGTTCTTTGTTCCTAGAGGGGTGTCTGAGCAGCGCATCAGCGTCTACCACACACGGGACTTCACTTTGTGTGGGTTTTAAATTTTTAAAATAATATGTATTAGAAAAAATATTTTCCTTTTGGAATACAGAATGTTTATTGAGAGAATTTGTACTCATCTACAGAATTTTTAACACCACTTTCAATGTCTACTAGATGTATATTAATAAATTATTGGAAGCTTATAACTTAAGTCTTTAAATGATGTCTCACATTTTCATTTCTAATTAATATTTGGTTCCCAATATCATTACATGATCATTTTCCTAATTCTTTTAAAATATTGAACAGAAAATTCTTTTAAAGGCTAATAGGTATTAAATGAATATTTAGTAATTTAGGAGACAGTGTTTTCTGGTCTTAAGTATATACCTGGAAATAGATGTTGGACATGTTGATAAATTGTTCCAGAATTGACATGCTCTTCTTTGATGTGTGATAAAATACTTTTCTCGACATAGGCACAGCTCCAGATGTTCCGAGCTCAGTGGATGTTTGAACTTGGCCCAAGTGTAAGCTCTGGCAAGTTAGAAAATCAACCTTGCAGAGCAGCTAGAGGCTCTCTATTGAAAGCAGCAACAGATACCAAAGGAAAACAAGAACAGGCAAAAGAAGAAAAGTTAAGTATTACTGACATTGTAACAGGTTACTTTTTTTGGAGGCACATAGAAATTTTCACTGATAGAAAATAGTAATTGTAATCCTACTTTGGGGATGTAAGTACATAATTTGAAGAGTAAACCAAAGATTTTTCTCCTAAATTTGACCAGTATATGAGTTCATAATTCCCTCAATATTTCTAGGTACTTAGGATTATACCACCATTTCTCCATGAGCTTCTTTGCCTATAAGTATACTGTCTTCATGGAACTGTCTTTTGCTAATTTATAGATTCTGGGATTCATTTAATCTCCAAAAGATTGACGCCTCTTATTTTATTAATAAAAGCCCAAAAGGGGGGAAAAATTGTGTACATGTTAATGTCTTACCAAAGGTCTTAACTTAAATGAAGTATTTTGTTATGTTTTGAGTTAATTAATTTTAATCATTTCTTTTTTTTTCCTTCTTATCAGTTTGTTTTTGTTTTTTGTTTTTGAGACAGTCTTACTCTGTCGCCCTGGGTAGAGTGCTGTGCATCAGAGCTCACAGCAACCTTAAACTCTTGGGCTCAAGCCATCTTCTTGCCTCAGCCTCCTGATAGCTGGGACTACAGGTGCGCATCACCACACCTGGGTAATTTTTCTGTGTTTAGAAGAGGTGGGATCTCTTGCTCAGGCTGATCTCAAATGTCTGATCTCAGGCAATCCTCCCACTTTGGCTTCCCAGACACTAGGATTACAGGCATAAGGATTACAGGCCACTCCTGGCCCTTTTTAATCAGATTTTTTTTTAGAGACAGAGTCTCACTTTGTCACCCTCAGTAGAATGTTGTGGCATCGCAGCTCACAGCAACCTCCAGCTTTCTTGCCTTAGCCTCTGGAGTAGCTGAGATTACAGGTGCCCACCACAATGCCTGGCTATTTTTGTTTGTTGAAGTTTTGGCCGGGGTCGGGTTTGAACCTGCCATCCTTGGTATATGGGGCTGATGCCCTACTCACTGAGCCACGAGTACTGCCTTTTAATCAGATTTTTTAGGGAAGCCAGCACCCTAATTATAATACAGAAAAATTCTGTCACCCTGAAAAATTTCCTAATGCCCACTGGGAGTTAATCTGTTGCCCTGGAAACCATCAATGTATTTCTATCACTATAGTTTTGCCTTTCCTTTTTTTCCTCTTTTTTATTTCAAAATATTAAGGGAGTACAAATAGTTTTGTTACATGGATAGCTTTTGTAATGCTTGAGCCAGGGCTATCAATGTGCCCATCTCCCAAATAGTTTATTATACACATTAGCTAGGTTTTTGCCCTTCCCATCCTCCCTTAACCATTTTTTGTTTGTTTGTTTGCTTCCTTAATCATTTCTTTATTCCAGAAAATTTTGGAAGTGCTCATGCCAAAAATATTTTGAATACTGCCCAACTTTACCTTCTCCTTATACTGACTCATATGGAGCTGGCACAGCACATCATGTCATTTTTTGTTACTCTCTTCTTCCGTAGATGCTGTCATTTTTATACCATCAGATCCAGGTTTTTGTTTGTAGACAGTCGGTCACTGAATAATGTACATTGCCATGATGACTAGAATCTTCCCTACTTACCTTGCTTTAGTTTTTGTTTCAAAATATTACAAATTTATAGGTACTGGAATGTCTCGTACATTATTCACTCAACCTCTCCTGATGCTAACATCTTGCTTCATATACTGTATAGTACAATATTGAAAACTAGGGAATAAACATGGGTCCAAGCTACAGAGCTATTTAGATTTCCTGGGTTTACAGGCAGTTATCTGTGTATATGTGTGTAGTCTATACAGTTATATAATGTGTAGCGTTGTGTGACCACCAGTATAGTCAGAACACAGAACTGTTCCATCACCATAAGCATCCCTCATACAGCATCTTTGTAGGTAGGCACTCCCTTCCCCTCCTCCCCAGCCATTCTTGACCACTGGCAACCACTAATCTGTTCTCCATTTTACAATTTTGATATTCTAAGAATGTCATATGTAGCCTTTTGAGATTGACTTTTTTCACTCAAAGTAATTCCTGTGAGTTCCATCCAACTTACTGTGTCAGTAGTTTCTTCATATATCATAGTAGTATTGCATGGCATGGATGTACCCCAGTTTTTTTAAGCATTTACTGGTTGAAGGAAATTTGAATTATTTCCAATTTTTGGCTACTATGAATACAGTTGCTGTGCGTATTTGTGTATAAACATAAATTTTCACTTCCCTGGGATAAAAGCCCAACAGTGCAATTGCTAGATTTTATGGTAAGTGCTTGATTTTAAAAGAAACTGCAAAATTGTCTTCCAGAGTATCAGTACCATATTATGTTCCCACCAGCAATGTGTGAGTGATCCAGTTTCTCCACATCCTCGTCAGCATTTGGTCTTGTCACTACTTTTTAATTTTAGATATTCTCATAGGTATGTAGTGATATTTCATTGTGATGCTAATTAGCATTTCCCTAATGGCTGACGAGGTCAAGTATCTTTTCATGTGCTTATTTCCATCTATATATTTATTCTCTTTGTGACATAGCTGTTTGTGCCTTTTCTAATTGAATTCCTTTTGTTTTTACTTTGGAGTTTTGAAAGTTTTTTTATGTATTCTAGATATAAATTCTTTGTTGATTATGTGGCTTGTAAATATTTTCCCCTAGTTTGTAGTTTGTCTTTTCATCCTATTAACAGGACATTTTATAGAGCAAAAGTTTTTAATTTTGAAGAGGTTCAACTTCTCAACTTTTCTTTTTTTTTTTTTTTTTATTTGAGACGGAGCCTCAAGCTGTCGCCCTGGGTAGAGGCTTCAGCCCTGCTTCAGCCTCCCAAGTAGCTGGGACTACAGGCGCCCACCACAATGCCAGGCTATTTTTTTTTGGTTGCAGCCATTATTGTTGTTTGGCGGGCCCGGGCTGGATTCAAACCCAACAGCTCAGGTGTATGTGGCTGGCACCTTAGCCGCTTGAGCCACAGGCACCCAGCCAACTTCTCAACTTTTCAACTTTTGCTTGTATGGATAGTGCTTTTGGTGTCAAGTGTAAGAGCTCTTTGCCTAGTCATTGGTCTCTGAAATTTTAATTTTATTATTATTTTTTTTGTCTAAAAGTTCTGTAGGTTTTACATTTAAGTCCATCCATTCAAGTAAATTTTTTTCTTCTTTTTGAGACAGAGCCTCAAGCTGTGGTCCTGGGTAGAGTGCTGTGGCATCACAGCTCACAGCAACCTCCAACTCCTGGGCATAAGTGATTCTTCTGCCTCCGCCTCCCAAGTAGCTGGGACTATTGGCTCCTACCACAACGCCCGGCTATTTTTTGGTTGCAGCTGTGGTTGTTTGGTGGGCCCAGGCTGGATTTGAACCTGCCAGTTCAGGTGTATGTGGCTAGTGCCTTAGCCACTTGAGCCCCAGTCTCTGAGCCTTTTTTTTGAGACAGAGTTTCACTCTATTGCCCGGGGTAGAATGCCATGGCATCGTATCTTAGAACAACCTTAAACTTGGGCTCAAGTGATCCTCTTGCCTCAGACTCTAGAGTAGCTGGGACTATAGGTACATGCCACAACACCTGGCTGTTTTTTAGAGAGGAGGTCTTGCTCTTGCTCAGGCTGGTCTCTACCCTGTGAGCTCAGGCAATCCACCCGCCTCAGCCTCCCAGAGTGCTAGGATTACAGGTGTGAGCCACCATGCCCAGCCCATTCAAGTTACTTTTTATGTAAGGGATGAGGTTTAGATTTATTTAGGTTCGTTCTTTTGTCTGTGGATGTCCAGTAATTTAAGCACCATTTGTTGAAAGGTACCCTTCTGCCATTCATACTATTTTTAATCCAGATTTTCAAAAATTGTCACTTTATATTTTTATAGGCTCGAGAGCTCTTTCTAAAAGCTGTAGAAGAAGAACAAAATGGAGCTCTCTATGAAGGTAAAAACTTGGGGCCCAGGATCATATTGTCCCAACATTTATGAATAACAACTCTGTTACTGTTTTATTTGTTTTTTACTGTAACGTATTTGGTTAGAACATCAGTCTTGGTATATAGTTGTCCCTTAGTATTTGTGAGGGATTGGCTCCAGAACCATCTGTGGATACCAAAATTGGGGGGTACTAAAGTCCCAGATATAAAATGGTATAGTGTTTGTATATAACCTACTCATGCCCTTCTGTAACTTTAAATCATCTCTGAATTACTTATGACAACTAATACAATGTAAATGCTATTAAATACAATAGACTCTCTGTAGCTGACACCTCCCTACATTAACCACCTCCATAAGTTGACCTGATTGTCATAGATCAGACATGCACCACATGTATGTATCAGGACAGTAGGCTGAGTTCCTTAAGCTGATTACCTCCCTATGTGTTACATTTTCTTAGGTGCTCAACTTGCAGGGGTTTTACTGTAGTTGTTAGATTTTTTTTGTTAAATTCATGTGGTCATTTTTTTTTTGATCTCTAGTTGGTTGAATCCAAGGATCCAAAACCCACAGATACAGAGGGCTAACTATATTGATTTTTGATCTCTAGTTGGTTGAATCCAAGGATCCAAAACCCACAAATACAGAAGGCTAACTATATTTGAAATTTTTTTTTATAAATCAAAAATAAAAGTTATATTTCTATATAGCCTATCTTTTTACAAAAAAATATTTCTGGGAAACATCAAAATATTGGTAGGATGAGTAAAATGATCTTTCCTGTAGTTTTAGCATTTATTAATTCCTGCTGGTGAAGTCTTTTTTTTTTTTTT